CAGAAGCACCCATCGTAGGTGACTAAGAGAAGTCTATCAGGTTGACAAAAAATTAAGGTATCATCCGCAAAGAGTAAATGTGTGATCTCCTCCCACCTTCAACCCTTTAACTAACTCCAACTCTTTGGCCTTTAAGAAGAATTTTTTTCAAGGTCTCCATCATTTAATAAACAGCAAATGGGACAAAGGAGCCCCTTGTCTAAGACCACTTGACGCCATAGAAAACTTTGAAGGACCCCCATCCACCATATTTGCAAAGGATGTTATCGTAATACAAGTGTTGATCCATTTCCACCATTTTCTTCCAAACCCCATTCTTGAAAGACCGTAATGAATGAAGTCCCAATTGACATGATCACATGTTTTTCCCATACCTAGTTTACACAGCATCCCATCTCTCCCTCTTAAAATGTAATCATCCACCGCCTCATTAGCCACTAGAACAGCATCAGTAATTTGTCGGCCCCCCACAAAGGCATACTAGCATTCCCCAACCATATTACCCAAGGCAGATACCAATCTTCTAGCTGTCAACTTTTCAATAAGCTTATATACACAACCCACCAAACTTATCGGTTGAAATTCCCAGATATCCACTACCTAGTGGTTCAACTTATATGTTTAGGACTAGGGCAATTTTATGGAGGTATTCTTGCAATTTCGAATACCCTCCTTCTACTACTAAAGAAAATTGTTGGTAATAAGATTAAGTTCTTCAGTAGTGAAAATTTTTGGAAGTGGCACCACAAAGTAGGCATGTTCTCGAATCCTACAAATTATCTATGTTCTTTCTCTCCCTCATTTTTACCTTGAGAATAACATCTCACCTTTCTCTAAAACCCCTGAACCTCAAGTACATGCACAAGTTAGGGTCTGTTTGGCAGCGTTAAGCTAAAAGCATCTACTAAGAAGTTTGCTTTTGATTGCTGCAATTAAAAACTTTCTATTATTAAAAACAAATATTGTGTCCGTCTCGAGTGTTGAAAAAGCCTGTGCTAGCCCTAATTGGTAATCTAGATTTATCATTCATTGAAGATATTCTACCTAATATTTTGAAGATATTATAGGGGCAACAATAATAAAACAATTGTATCGTGTTGAGGGAAAAAATTTATTTCTAGGGTATCAAATATATTTCCTATCCCATACGAATTCCTACAAAGATTATGATTATACATGCAACTAAAAAAAATGAGATACATAGTCATACAATGTTTCTAAAAATTTCATTAGTTAACTTCCTTACTTCCCATTGAAGTAAATGTTATCACTTTGGAAAAGCAGCAGATTGATATTTCCTAAATGCAACAAGTATTCATTTTCTTTAATTATAAAAGTTTGAGAAGCAATAAGTAAAACAACTAAAAAAGCTCAGCAGATTGTTATTTCCTAAATGCAACAAGTATTCATTTTCTCGAATTATAAAATTTTGAAAAGCAATAAGTAAAACAACTAGAAAAGCTCAATCAAACAACTGTTAATCCAGAATCCTTGCATACTGTAACTAACTTAATCAAAGAAACTAGCCATGCTTCTATCATGCATATACTTTCATCAGGAATAATATGTAGATTAAGTAATACAGTACCAATCTCCTCTCCTTGAACCCTCCAAACTGAGGGTAAGAGCAAGATTCAATCAAAAATTCTTGTAATTTTACCAACTATGCTGATTGATTCCTACACTTCTACTCAACCTTATCAGAGAAACAAACCCACTGATAAAGTATAATGACAACAGTATAAAACACAAAACTTCATCAAAGTAAATAGGGTTTTGACCAATAACAGAAAATGTCATATAAGCCCCTCAGAAAAAGGTTTACCATTTCACAGCCAATCCAGAAACATCACCGGCAACATCATCAAGCTGCTGCAGAATGATGGTTGTCAACTTTATCTCCAAGTCAGTATCAGCTCTGAATGATTCCTTGTTTAATTCATTTAGCAAATCAGATGTTGCCATATACCTATAATCTTTATCCTTGCCCGTCATCTACAAACAAAGACAAGGAAATTCAATCGAACCAGTTAGAAAATTCAAACAACTATCTACTACAACCAAGCAGAATGCTCGCAACATAAACAAGTACACGCATTTTTAATCATAAATTTGGATTTATACAATTGAAAGCTCTCTTTTCCAACGAGAAAAGGACTGATAAAAAGTACCTTCTCAAGAATGCCGGTCATTTGTAGATTAGCCATCTTTGCAAAACCTTATCAATCCCACCAACTGCCAATTCCAACTTATACAACAATCTACACAGTATCAAAAAAAATCAAAGCGCATAAAATGATAATCAGCAATAGCAATGCATCTGTAACCACACAAAACTTCAGCAAAATGAAAGAAGAAGAAACGCAGAAGTAAACGAACCAAATCTGCGAAACAAAGATACAATAACTCCAAAGAAATGGGTTGTAAGCAATTAACTAAAAACACAAAATGGGGTCGTAGTACGAACCCTAGATAAACCAAACCAAACATAAATCCACAGCAGATAAAATGGATATAGACGGTAAATGACCAAAGAAATAAAAAAACAAAAATCCGAACAAAAAAAACAAAAAGGGCACCCAATAAAAATCCAAAGCCATGTCACCAACGGTAAAATGCGGATTCAAAGACTAAGCCTACCACAAACCTAACACAGAAAACGGATATACGGAGGGGATTCTCACAGCGAGAAATCTAAACACACGTTCCAACAAGATCGAAAGCAGTGGCAGTAGAAATGAAAATCGTCGACCAAATTATCCACTAGAAATCACTAAGAGAAAAACCATTGATGCATCATGAAAGAGATGAATGGAAGAGAGACGAGAAGAGAAGCTACCTTACGACTGGAGGCGAACAGACTGAGACGAGAGACCACTCCTCCTATCTCCGACGCCCCACGCTAAAGTTTTTTTTTTTTTTTTTTTGGGAGGGTGGGGTGGGGTGGGGTGGGGTTTTTGATCTGCTTTGATTTTCACATTTTTCATATTTTTATTTTCTTTAAAAATTATTTTAATTTCATTAATACCTTTTTGGATTTATTTATTTATTTATTATTTAACGAGTATCTTGTCGGATTAATGTATAACATAAGACTCAAAAACCCTATTTCTTGTTTGAAAATGGGCCGGGCCCATTGATAAAGAATTTAATTGAATATTTTTACACTTCTTACTTTTACATAGTGTTCGTAAATTTCGTGACAGTTACTCAGAGATTCATAGCGAACATCGGTGCAAGCTTCTCTCGAAACAATAACGCGTTGATCTAGTTGTCACCGAAGCCACAGAGGACTATTTAAATTGATCTTTTTCTAGTGACAAACTTCAATTGCATCATAAGAATTACAAAAAAAAATTAGTTTTTCGATATACTGATAGTTACTATCGTCAATTCTTTCATCTTAATAGTTTTTTGATAATATGGATTATACATACCTTCTCTTTGCACAAATACATCGACGAGTCTTTCGCTAATATATAAAATTTCGTAAACATATCTTGCGTCAGTATAGAAATAAAATCTCTAAAGACAAAGAAATTAATACGATAAAATATAAGTAAACGAGCATGTACTTGAACTTTTAAAAGATAAAGGCACATGAAGAGTCATTTGATCCACATTAAAGTCTGCATTGAATCCCTTATGATTGGATGGACAAAGGTAATTATTATGTACATGTAATTATTTTGGTTAATGATTATATTTTTTTAATGTTCGTTTTAAAGAAATTTTTGAATAATAAAAAATAATTGAATATAGTTATTTCGTATAAGAAGTATATAATTTATTTTAATACCTTACATTTATTACTATTCATTTAAAAACCTATTAATGTAAATATAATCTTATTTAATTAATAATTAATTATTTTATTTCGAATAATTAAATATTTAATTTTTAATATAACTATTTTTTAAAAAAATTAAGAATTAACTTTTAATATCGTGACTCACAATAAAAACATTATATCATCTAAATGAGAAAAACACCTCGAAGAAGCACCATCAAAACACATCTTCTTCTTTCTTTTAAAGTGAATCCATTGCTCTCCTTCATCAATGGCGAAAACTTTTCTCGAGTAGGAGAAAAGAAAGATTCTAGTGAGGAGGAGAAGAAGAAGATTGAAGTGAAGCATTACCACAACATCTCTCTCTCAATTTGGTTTTGGTAACTCGTACCAAAAATCAATTTTATATTGATTAGTTTTAATCGAACAAATTTCGATTTTAAGAAAATTCATTAGTTCATAGGTAAAATATTTTGCATTATGTCACACACAATTCCCTTTCAAAAAGATACTTCTCTCTTTCTCTGAAAGGCGGTACGTGTACTTTGAAACTACTAAGTTATGCGATATAAAAATCTAACATAATTTCCTCTTCTATAATTTCCTTCTCATCTTATTATTTAGAACCATATATAGAAAAACAAGATATTACAGGATAATCCTCAAATCACTTGCAGGATTCTAGGCTTTTGTAAATATAATTTAAAGCTGCTAACTAGTTAAACCAGTTACAAGCTCCGGGCTCTTGATTGAACCTCCGACCCGGTATCTACCTCGTTGTTTTCCTGCAAGGTTCAAGGAATTAGCAGGTGCAATAATACATGTGCAGACAGCAGATACTACTTGGCGCTCGTGAAAGGTTAAGAAGTTATCATCAAAGAGCACCAGAAAAATGATATTACAGCTACCAAGCATATTGAGTCTTGAAACCCATATAATAGGGCAAAACAATAAGTTTTTGCGTAGTTTAATGAGGACTTGAACCCGACCGAGATCATGGTTACTTTCAAAGGCTGGCTAGAAAGTAAACAATGTGGAATTAGGTCCCTCAAAAGAGGTGCTAGCTTACCGAACACTCTCTCAACTTCTCTTTGTATAGAACTTGCTCCAATTCGCCGTCCCCGTGAAGAATTTTTGCTCCACATCCTGAAGCATCAACTGACCCAACAGCCTCTTCATCAACCAAAACTGCAATATTGCCTTGAGTTCCTGTTTTACTGTCTGGAATCTGTTGATAATAAAGGGGTAAAAAGGAGCCATTGGGGGACAATACAAAGTCGTAACAGAATTCATTCATGCACCAATATCTTTGTTTTATTACCCCTATGTGAACCCTTGCTACCTCCTACCCTGGTAGGAGATAAAAGATCCTTATATCTTTTATCTTTTTATTTTTTATTTTTTTAAGGAGAACGCAATCAGCCACATACAGTAGTGGTTTAACTCCCTAGCTCATTGCAATTACCAATTTATTGCCAATCACAGTTTTCCAGCTAACCAGACCAAACTGCCTCTATTATTCAGCCGAATTGCAGCAAGCTTGGAGAACAGTTCCATAATGATAACAAAGACATGTAATACAGCCCACTATTCACTATATACCTCAAACATGGCCTCTGTTAGTATATTTTCTAATATGGCTCTCAAGCCACGGGCACCAGTGTTCTTTGCCATTGCTTTCTTTGCAATCAATCCCAGTGCTCTTTCAGTAAAATGTAATTTGACCTGAAATAGAAAGATCAACAAACACATGTAGGCATTAACCAGAAGAGCCTACAAAAAACGGAGACAACCAACATGATGTAAAGAGCTTACATTATTCATGCCAAACATCTTCTTGTACTGCTTACCAAGAGCATTTTTAGGCTTCATGAGGATCTATATCAGAAAGAATTCTTGTACAATCAACTTACTCGCCATTTGAAAGGAGGAAAACAGAATATTTTAAGTCTAGAAGGGAAAAAGTCGGGAAAAACAAGAAAAACTTTTGAAGAAAAGGAACTTTCACTTAAATTCTAAGTGAAACAACCCATTACATGCTAAACAAAAGCAATATCATTGACAAATATATGAAGTGCACGTTCGTAAATCATACTTAAGGCCAAATACGTGAGAAAATATTGGCATATTCATGACACAAGAGAATCATCAACAAATACCATTAAACAGAAAGAACACACCTGAACAAGTTGGTCCTCATTTAGGGCTGACAAGCTCACTAAAATGGGCAACCTTCCAACAAATTCGGGAATGATCCCATAAGAAACGAGATCACCACTTTCAACCTGCAAATCAAAGAAATTTTTAAGTTACCCATTCAAAGAAACAAATAGTTAAGACAAGCATAAATAAATTTCCAGAAGGAATAACTTCTAAAATTGAAATAAACATGATATTATAATTGAAAAAGGTTGGCTTTCTTCAGCTAAAGAGCGCAAGTAATCTCACATATTCCAATAGTGAGGAAGCCACAGCAGCACTCATTGTGCCACTAGTCCTCATGTTTGCACGAACTGGTGCTCCAAAACCAATAGAAGCATCCTGCCGTCTGAGAAGAGGAATATATTTGAATCTGTAACCTTCGATAAAAGAGAGAAGGAAAAACAAGGTAAATAATTTCCTTCCCCAAACTGCAACAGAAGATGATGGTACCGTTCTGAAATGGTTTTCTCTAAATCAACAAATGCCCCACCACAAATGAAAAGGATGTTTGTTGTATCTACCTGCATTCATAAAGATCAAGTTACCAGATCAACAAGAAAAGCAGTATCCACCTTCGAAAATGAAAAAATTCTTACATAAGCAAGAATATTAACAAAGTCATATTTTTATTAATTGTGTCCATAGTAATTCTACTAAAAGGATTGAAAAGACTACAAAGCAAGCTAGTTAAGACAGATAGAGAGTCCGTTGTACCCCAACACCCACAGAAAATAATTTTATGAATTTGTGCTTTGCAACATAAAGATAATTGATCAGTGCAGGTCCTGAGTCTTTATTCTCTACAGTGGCCACATGCATATACACAACACAAAGTCCACTTTGCTTTAAAAATATCTTGTTAAAAGATACTATTATAATTATCAATAAAGAAATAAAATTTATGTGTAATTTATGGAGTTTTAAGATATTATAGACTTATCTATGTTGTAAACATGATTATTTGACAGAATGCAAATTTAAAAAAAATAACTTACTCCTCAAACCGTGCTAATATCAAAGCATACATTGCCTTGACTTAATCGGGTTTGATTTAGAATGTAATATAAGGTTAAAAATACATATATAGAGGTAGGACAGAATTTTTAATTTTATACTTTCATTCAAACATACCTGAATATTATCACCACGGTGATGTCTCCTAGCTCCTCTCTCAGGAACAGGAACATTCACAATCTGCTGAAAAAAGAAACATCTCATATAGCTGAAGGAAATATCAAAAACTTCAGATGTGACATTTTGATGTTTAGTAAAATAATGTAAAGGTGTGTATGCAACACAACAATATGATTATCATACATCTTTACACGATACCACATAACATAAGTTTCAATTGGCACCAAGAAATATAAAGTTACAATGTAGAATATATCTTTCTGTTTGTGTTCTTATATAGGTCTTCATAAATAGTTGAGTGTTCTATGAAGGTACTTCTCATACTTTTGCACTGCCAAACCTTTTTCTTTCCAAAGGTGAGCAGAATTTTCAATGTCTGTGCAAAGTCAACTTAAGCACCAAGACCTGTAATACTGTGAATTCTGTGCCCAAACCATTAGTTAATTTTTTACAATTACTAACAGAGACTACACCTTTAGATGATAGTGTGAAGATTAACAAAAATTATCTCATGCCTATTTATATAGGAAGAATTTATAAAGATGATGCCGTATGTGAAGCTTTCAACATGAAAGTTTGTCACATACTGTTGTGATACCCTGGAAGCTGCATCAAGGTTATTTACAAACATAAAGAGGACATGTCTATAAATTTTAGGACAAGAAGAAATTGGTATTCATCTGTACAATGCTTCTAAAGTGAAAGAGAAAATTTCTAAGAAAGTTCAAGGAGGAGATATACATAAGTTGATAGAAAAAGAAAGACTATCTTTTCAAAAGAAAAAAAGAAAAGATAGAAACAGGAGGTTTAAAATTTTGAAATAAAGAGTCACAAAAAAAAGAGAGTTGTTTGAAGAAAAAATGATGATTTAGGAATTATGTGAGCAACAAGGCCAGAAGCAACCTGCCCATTCCCATTACATTTCAATATTACTCTCCATATCAACACCAACTAAGCAAAGGCAAGAAGCATACATAAGCAATTATCTCAACTCACCCTATTTGATATATTTCCAGAGTTTTAAATTCAGAAGAAAAAAAGGGAAAAAAGAAGGGGAAGGTGGGGAAGGGAGATGTTTAAGAAAGCAAAAGGGCAAGTCTCTTTCCTAATTTATTCCTCAACCAACAATCCTTTTAAATCTTCTATAACAAAAGAAAGAAAAGAAACCTTAAGGTTATAACATATTCACTCACAGTTCCCTCAAGCATTTTTAGCAATGCCTGTTGGACACCTTCCCCAGATACGTCTCTGCCAATATTTGAATTTTGAGCCTGACAATAACCCAAAAAAAAATATGATGATTAACCATTCATCACTATGCATCTAAAACCATCATCCGTATATTAACAAATCCAAAGACCTTGGATTCTGGCACCTAGAAACAGTAAACATATGTAAATACCTTCTTAGTTATCTTATCAACCTCATCAATATAGATAATCCCGCGTTGAGCAGCATCCACATTGAATTCAGCTTCCTGGACAGCAAACACATGATCCAGCAAACATGTTAACAAGAAAGCAAGATTTCATGCAGACGGATGCATTTAATTACCACACATGTTGCAACATTATCTTTTACAAAAAAAAAAACAAGAAATAAGTAAGATGAACAACTAGTTCATCCATTGAGCACTGAACTAAGTATGGATAAAACACACAAAGCATATGGCAATTATGTACGGACATATCATATGCATCTTAACCATGATCAGCTTACAAAAGGCACCAGCTAATCTGTGATGAAAAGGGTTAAGATCTCACACAGTCAACAATCAAAAATTATGATATGTAGAGATCAAGAAAATTAATAATTAATTTATTATATGTATGCCAAAAACAAAAAATATAAATAATTCAACAATGTAGCGTACCGTGAGCAGCTTATACAAAACTGACTCCACATCTTCTCCAACATAACCTGCCTGGAGAAATAGCAATTGCATTAATTAATTGAACCTAGCCTAGGAGGAAAAATCTATAAAAGTTTTGCATAAACCGGTGGTTGCAGGGGACTTCCAAAACCCCATTTGAGCACAAATATTGTAAAAGTGCACAATTAGAAACCAAACGCATAAGCAAACACAAACAGTTTCTAAAAATCTTAGCTCATCTGTTTTACAACTGTGTGAATACGCACAAGCCAACTGCTTAATTTTTCATGAAACCATAAGGTATCTTTGGTTTAGATTTCAATTTTATTGAATAGAAATAGGACCATAATACAAATTAGAAAACAATTTGAACAAAAAATAATATTCCAATTTAAAATTAATTCCACATACAATTCATGCAAGGTGTTTTCATAACTCTCTCTTGATAAATAGGAATAGCAATACATAATTGAGATGTGAGTGTAATTAGCTCAACTAAAGTTGTCAAACCTCTTTCAAGAAATAAAGGATGTTGTAGCTTCAAAGATCCTAAAACTACTTGATATCATGAAGCTTTTTTATGTGAATACAGATGCATCTGACAAAAAAAAATTGATGGGGTGTTCGTGCAAGATGGACACGCCATTGCTTTTCAGAGTCGGAAGTTAAATTCAGTTGAACAAAAGTACTCAGCATATGGGAAGTGATTGCTTGTTGTAGTACACTCTCCGATAGTATGAAGATTCCACCTATTGGGCGCAAAATTTTTGGTGATAATAACTTCTTCAAGACCAAGAAGAAGTTGTAACCTGGGCGAGCCTGATGGCAAAAATTCATGATAGAATATGATTTCGTCTGAAAAAACAAACCAAAATATGGTAGTTGATGCCTTAAGCTGAAAGGAAGCAGCAAAAATGCTAACAACTATGGCCAATATGGAGACTGACTCATGGGCTAATAGATCACAAACATTTGGACAAGATCCTAGAAAGATATTAGCTACAAATGTCAAAGGAATGACCAAACAGAATGCAATGCCCCTAATATCATCCCGAGCCTACAAATGTGGGGCTACTAAGCTATTCCTTTGAAAAGCTTCATACTAAAATATAGGTGGGAAATTCCCCAATAAAGCTTTCCCTACTCAGGATAAATTTATCTTCAAAACATTAGGTAGCGTATGTTAAGAGGCCTTGCTAACCCATTACTCTAGTCCACCAACCATACCAAAATATTACCTTATAAAAGATATTTAAGCTTCATCATTCCAACACGTCTTTCTCGTTCATACACATTTAAGAAACCAAGAGATCCACATAGAAATATTCATAACAGAAACAAAGCAAACCATTTTTTTTACATAAAAGTATGGTATATAACATTTACAAGCACAAGAGGGTATCAACCTTTGTACAAAATTGTTTACACTTCAATCATGATATCTATAATTTTTCGTAGTAGGTACAAAATGACCCGTAATTAGTGAACTCTACGGTTTGGAACCATCTATCCCTAACCCTATCAAAAGTTTCTACTCCCTCATAAACGAAGCAAACCGTGAAATATAAAGATTAAAGTTACTTTAGCATCAAGAGAAAAATATCTTTTTTAAAATAAAGTCAAGAGGAAACTATAAAAGTAGATTATGAACTAAAAACCTTGGTATCCTTAAAGTTTATAGTACTCTTCACAAAATCACAAAACCATTGATTTCCTTTTCCTCCTTTAAAACCATATTTTATTAATTCTTGAAGAAAAAAATTAATCCTAGTTTATGATAGTTTATTAGGAACCATAGTTTTCACATTTAGCAATAAATATGAACTGATTTTTTCCAACAAGAAAATAAGAAAAAGTTGTAACAAAACTCAAAAGAAGATTTAAGTGGAGCTCCTAGAAAGTTAAGATGAATTTGTTTACACATTTATAAGAAAAATTCCTCATATATCAAAAAATAAGTCCAAAAAGCAAAAGGAATATGAACTTGCCTGTGTTAAGGATGTTGCATCAGCAATGACGAACGGTACATTAACAATTCGTGCAAGAGTTTTTGCCAATAATGTCTTCCCTATCCTTAGATTCAAGGTAGAATAGAAAAAACTTATTTCAAAAAAAAAAAGGTAGAATAGAAAAAAATAAACAGTAAGCATTGTAAGCAATGGGCCCTCACTGCTTGCCACAATAAGTATAAGCTTGTTTATACTGCACAAAACAACCAAGAGAATAACAGCAACAACTATACCTGAGCCAGTGGGACCCATCAATAGTACATTGCTCTTCTCCAACTCTACCAGATCACTATCTTCATTTTCATTGTCACTTTTACCTAGTTCAAAATTTAACCTGGTATTGACATGAATGTATTTGTCCTCATTAAGCACCAAGAAATGATAAAGCATCCATTTCTAGGAATCACTAATAGCAATATCCCTCAATTGTCATCAAAATGGGCATTTCTAAGCACCTGAATGACACAATACAAGTGCATCAAAAACTAACCCTTTAGACTGAGAGGCGTGATATATTCTTTTATAATGGTTGTGCACAGCCACAGAGAGGACCTGTTATTTGAATAAATGTTCAATAAAACACTTATACGTTGTATCAAAGTTCTTGGTGCTAAAATTTATATAACTGCTTCAGAAACAACCATACCCAAAAAAAAGATTTAGTCTGCGTCAGATATTCAATTCTATGGAATATAAGACTACAAATGGGATAAAGATTTAATGAAAATAACACTGTAATTCCAAGCCAATCCTGCATCTAATTTAAGTACTTTTGTGATTCTTACTTTCATAAATGAAAATACATATACATCAATAATGAAATTGAAGTTACGCAGAAAGTCGATTTAATTATACATCAAAGATATAAATAATAATTAAATTATCAAATAATTAAGATCTAGTAATTGAAGGGAAGTGAAATAGACTTGAACCAAATACAACATTAAGGATAGAAGAAAACAAATAAAACTAAAAAAGAATACAACCTTCGGTCTTTTGTTCCTCATCTTCAAATATTCATCAAGTAATGATCCTGGCACGAAACATCAAGTCCATATTTGGTTCAATTTCTATTTAATTCGTGTCTTAT